TTTAGCATAATTCTAATTATAGAGAATGAGTTTATTTCTTAAAATTTGAAAAGTCAAATCCACTTGACCTTAAAATATTAATTTGAAGAATTTCTAGAACATAATTTTAAGAATTGATTCTTTAAAATAGAGCATCGTTTATAAAACCACTGTTAAATATGTTCTTAATCAGTCCCAATGAACAACAAATCAACTCTACCAAATTTATCTAAGCTCATGGATAAAAACAAATTTCTAAAAGAAAAGAACATGACATAGGGTATTTCTGTCATTTCTCACCAATTCATCCTTACCACCTGTCGACTCTGCATGCCATAAGAACTTTGTGGGGTTGGCGTTGGGAATAAAAGTCGATGAAAGGGAAAATACAGAACAGAAAAATCATCTTCCCTCTAATTTATCGTTTGTGAAGCAAAGTGAATTTATTCCACTTGGCTAAGCTTAAAAATGAATCAAAGTAACTTTTAAATAAAATTTTCTTTTCTAAATGTGGTAGAACATTTATATAAATTTCAAAATAAGTGTGTTAGACCGAACTTATCCAACTGCATTAAGCCTCGAGCCAAGCTCGTTATGAGTCTTAACTTGACAATGGATACGGCTAACTATAAACTCGCCAATATTATGAGCTGATTTGATTGTTCAATGGATTGATCAGTGTGACTCAACTTATCATTTTTTTGTTCTATTTTTTTATTTTATTTTATTTTATTTTTTGACAAAAGACCTGAATTCTTGGTCTGTAAATTACATCAATAAATTGCTCATGAAATACAAAAAAAAAATAAAAAAATAAAAAAAATTCATTTGACCTTCTATGTTTCTAACAATTGGGATGACAAGGTCAGTCCACGTATTTGCGCCTGTTTAGATTTACTAAAAGCTATTTTTTAAAAATAAATTTTGATAAAGGTTGTTGAAATATATATTTGAAAAGTTAATAAATTTCGTAAATTCTATAAAATACAAAATTAAAAGTAATTGCTAATTTTAAATTAAAATTTTGTCAATTCTTTTAACTAAAACAAACAGGGCACTATTGCAAATCAACTCACGAGCGGGCTCTAATCGGACCGATTGGCTACAATCTGGCATTTTATCGTCCCGAATTTGGACTGCCCAATTCGTTTTGACATAATTTCCTCTTGCTTATATATTCTATCTACCAAAGGTGGAGGTTGTTAGGTATTTTAGTGATGCCCAAACAACCCGCTAGGCAATGATAAAAAATCGAGATCCGTTCGTTTCATAGGCTTTAAGCCCGGGATTGAAATATGTATTAAAGATCCACACCACAATTGTAGTAACCCAATTAAGTTGGGTATTTAGAGGGAATCGGCCCATTAGGGTTAGGTGCTCAATACCTAATTAAAAGATGGACTTGGTAGTTAGAGATATACACTATCCCTAACTTTTGGTAACCTACCTTATTCAAATTGATACCCATCTTTGAAGATTTTATTGGAATATCTAGGAAATTCGTTTTTCTACTTGACCTACATATAATTGACCTCTAAACTTATGTAAACACACCAACAACCCTAGAAAATAGTCCCTGTGCTTTGTGCCTTTGAAAACCTTCTTGCTTTGTGCCTGAAGCTATTTTTCTTTGCCTTTGTGTGCCCTAATACTTGGTGTATATCTTGAACTCCGAAAATCTATTGTTGGTGTTACCTTTGTGGTGTTGGATCGAAGTTTCTGAGCCTAAGAAAAGGGGGAATTATTACTTCTTTGTTCTTGCATCTATTTCTTCATTTTCTTGATTGTTTTGATTGATTCTTGTTTATTAATTGAGTTTATCACTTACTTGTTGATTTGTTCACTTGCAGGAGACTTTTAATACTCACAATGTTGCCATAAAGTTTTCTACTTCCATATTGTTTTTAACGAGACTGTTTAAATTGACCAAGTTGGAGATATGTTTTATAAATAACCTTACTTTCCTTTAAGCAGAATGGCTTTCCTATTTGCTGATATTCTATAATTGACCACCTTATTTTTATCATGTGTGACTTGAGATAATGTACTAGTTGACATGTGGATCACTTTTTTGTTAGAGATCGGCCTCCACATCCACCATTTGTAATGGTGTCTGCTGTGCGCTTGAACTTGTCTTATCACTTGGAGAAATAGAAAAGTATTCAGTTTGTAGCAAAGTGATAGGTTTGTTGTTTATTATCTGCACCATTACCATTCCATCACCAACAAGATCTATGATGATGCCAAGGTCTCAAAGATCTGCACGACTTCTACTAGATTAATAAAATTCCTCAATTCGATTAGACATCTGTCTAACTAACGCCACTATCACCTTTATCATTTTTTGCCTTTGCCATCCCTGCAATCAAATCTTTTCCGCCAACAATTAAATAGCCAACACCACCACTCACATTGTCATTAGATCCTAATGTCAGCATGCACACCAACACACAGAGAGTTGCAACTCAACATTTCAACTCACAAAAAAAAAGAAAAAAAATAGAAAAAAGAAAAAAGAAGGTGATTCCTATTCAAATTATGTCATATAACAGTTTAGTAAAATTAAAAGATGGGAAAGCTATATAACTCCTCAATGTTAGAGCACCATTTTGTGTAAAAAATTAGTTCTGTAATAGTGATTTTTCAAAGAATGTGCAGTTAAAAAACAAGAATTTTTTTTAGATTTATGTGCAAATATTTTATTAAAAGATGTATAGTTAAAAATTAGTTTTTAAGAAAAACAAGTTTTAAAATATAGAACTCAAACGAGGGCTAACTCATACATGCTTAATGAAGAGTGAATTATCAACAAGTTCAACATCTTACATCAAGTAAGCCCTCTATCAAGAATTCATACTTTGGAACACCTTTGTCCCTACCCTCCGTCATTCCTATGGACATTGTTTAACTCACTTTCACTCTTCGATCAAAACCCTTTTCATCTTTCTGTCATTATGGTACTTTGCTGTCACTTAAGTATATAGTCTTGCAAGATCTCCCCACACAAACACTCTTTTATTGTACTTTCAAAACAAATTCAAGGTTCTCTTTTCCTAGTAAAAAAGTTCCATAATTACCAACACAAAATTTTGATTTACTTGTTACCTTTTCCCAATTCAGAAGATAATATCCCTAAAATCCACATCACTCGTAACTTTGGAGTATGTCCAGTAAACTCTTTATTTTTAAATGACGTACTTTTTAATTTAGAGAATATCTTTAAATTTAAAGAGTAAAATCTTTAAGAAAATCAATGCGCTTTTTATTTTTAATATTTAGTTTTACTACTTCCAATATATATATATATTTTTTTTCATATTTTTGTCACTGGCTTCCTTTGAATTTATTATATTATTTTAATCCATTGAAAATTAAAATATTTTGAGTACATTTAGAGGGTGTTTGATAGTCATTTTTATGTAAAAATATATTTTAGAATAGTAAATTGATGTAAAATGTATGGTTGAAAAATAAGGAAAAAATTTTGATTTACGTGTAATATTATTTTAATAAAGAATGTGTGGTTGAAAATAAGAGAGAGAAAAATACATTTTGAAAAAAATGATTATCAAACAGGGCCTTAATTATAGCAATCTTGCTAGTGGTACACAACCGTGTACCAAGGGTGTACCTAATGGACACCCAACGCCTCTGCCATGTCGGGGCCCACAGGCGCTTCGGCCAATATCAAGGTGCTGGGTATACATTAGGTACACCCTTAGATACACGATTGTGTACCTTTAGCATAATTCTAATTATAGAGAATGAGTTTATTTCTTAAAATTTGAAAAGTCAAATCCACTTGACCTTAAAATATTAATTTGAAGAATTTCTAGAACATAATTTTAAGAATTGATTCTTTAAAATAGAGCATCGTTTATAAAACCACTGTTAAATATGTTCTTAATCAGTCCCAATGAACAACAAATCAACTCTACCAAATTTATCTAAGCTCATGGATAAAAACAAATTTCTAAAAGAAAAGAACATGACATAGGGTATTTCTGTCATTTCTCACCAATTCATCCTTACCACCTGTCGACTCTGCATGCCATAAGAACTTTGTGGGGTTGGCGTTGGGAATAAAAGTCGATGAAAGGGAAAATACAGAACAGAAAAATCATCTTCCCTCTAATTTATCGTTTGTGAAGCAAAGTGAATTTATTCCACTTGGCTAAGCTTAAAAATGAATCAAAGTAACTTTTAAATAAAATTTTCTTTTCTAAATGTGGTAGAACATTTATATAAATTTCAAAATAAGTGTGTTAGACCGAACTTATCCAACTGCATTAAGCCTCGAGCCAAGCTCGTTATGAGTCTTAACTTGACAATGGATACGGCTAACTATAAACTCGCCAATATTATGAGCTGATTTGATTGTTCAATGGATTGATCAGTGTGACTCAACTTATCATTTTTTTGTTCTATTTTTTTATTTTATTTTATTTTATTTTTTGACAAAAGACCTGAATTCTTGGTCTGTAAATTACATCAATAAATTGCTCATGAAATACAAAAAAAAAATAAAAAAATAAAAAAAATTCATTTGACCTTCTATGTTTCTAACAATTGGGATGACAAGGTCAGTCCACGTATTTGCGCCTGTTTAGATTTACTAAAAGCTATTTTTTAAAAATAAATTTTGATAAAGGTTGTTGAAATATATATTTGAAAAGTTAATAAATTTCGTAAATTCTATAAAATACAAAATTAAAAGTAATTGCTAATTTTAAATTAAAATTTTGTCAATTCTTTTAACTAAACCAAACAGGGCACTATTGCAAATCAACTCACGAGCGGGCTCTAATCGGACCGATTGGCTACAATCTGGCATTTTATCGTCCCGAATTTGGACTGCCCAATTCGTTTTGACATAATTTCCTCTTGCTTATATATTCTATCTACCAAACAGACCCTTAACATCACACGATTTTACATCATGTTTGATTTAGTTGTATGGTACAAAGGGAAAGATTAGTGGGTCCTCGGATATTACAAAAAGGAGGTAGAGAGAGAAACTGTATACAAGTATTATTGATAGAAGTTTAGAGAGAGAAAGAGAAACAGTGTGTTCTGTGAAGAAACAAAGGATTATGGGCGGTGAGATGCGCTGAAAATTCACATTTTTCTCCCCACTCTCTATATAAATCGTGTATCTATAGATAGAGAGAGAAATTTTGCATCCTTGTGTCCACTAATCGATATTGCATTTATATACTCTGAATCTGAATCAAACGTAATTAATGAAGCTGCTGCTCTGATCTTTGTCTTCTTTGGACGGACTCTCCAATTCATTAAATCTACGCCGATCCGATCGATTTTTCTAATCCTCTTGTGTTCTGATTTAATGAAGTGAAAGTAAAGGAGATTTTGTCTGTCTTTTGTATTTTAATTAGCATTTATTAGTGGATATTTTCGATAGTACTTTGGGGAGAGAGAGAGGGAAAATGAACGGAGATGATGGTGGAGAGGCAGTGGCTTCTTCGGCTGGTCCTCCGCCTCCGCTCGAGTGGAAATTTTCTCAGGTCTTTGGCGAGCGCACTGCAGGCGAAGAAGTACAAGAAGGTAAAGAATGTGCTTAATTAAATGGATAAATGAATTAAACTGCACACTTTGTGTTTAAATCTAGTGATTAAGATCTGTTTTGTGAACTACATCTGTTTTATGAATGATAATTAGTTATGGAACTCCATTTAATACATGGATTTACGTTATGGATTTCAGCGAACTGGAGTAGTGGGTAATTCAATTGAGTTCAATGTTAGTTTGATTGTGTTGCTTTAAACTTTACTTGCACAATTTGGTGTCCAAAAATTTTCTTATGCTTAAGCGTTGGATCTTTGTAATGGTGTCTGCTGTGCGCTTGAACTTGTCTTATCACTTGGAGAAATAGAAAAGTATTCAGTTTGTAGCAAAGTGATAGCTTTGTTGTTTATTATCTGCATTTGGCAATTTCGGTATAATTAATGTTTAATGTCGAATTATAGCCACTGCGGCGAGCCTGATGTTGTTTGATTTTGGCATTTTTCTGCAAAGATAAAAATGAGACATTGGAATCTGAAATGTCCTTCTGTGTTTAGGAATATGATTCATGTTGTTGTATGATCATAGAATTTCAAAAGTCCTGTTTTTGTGCAGTTAGAATCCCACAGAACTTTCCAAATGTAGGCACAGTCGTGCAAAGCCTGATATCTGGGAAGATTTGAAATGACTCGTGCAGTTTTAATATACACTGTCTATGTTTGGATCGTGTTATACATTGGTGTTTTAAAATCTGGAGAGAGAGAGAGAAAAAAGGAATGTCTGTTGTTTTATAAAAGTTGGAGAGAGTCATTAATTAGAAAACTACACCTTCTTTGTCGGTTATTAACTAGAGATCAAGCCACAAACAAGACAAATCGCAGAAGCTGCTCTAATCTATATTCATTGAATGTGTTGAATAATTTACCATACATCGACAATGTCAATAAATTAGGCTTCTGTTTGACAACCTTTATTTGAGAAAAATAATGTTTTGAAAAGTGATTTTTAGGAGTGTGTGGTTAGAAAGTAGGGAAAATTTTTGGGTTTACATTCGGAATATTTTATTTTGTGAATATGTTGTTGAAAATGCGTATGTAGAAAAAAGTTTTCAAATAATGATTGTCAAACTGGGGCTAGGTATCAGCTTTATAGCTTTATGTTACTTACACGTTGTCAATCGGGACACACGTATTTATAACTTTGGCATGTTTAAACTCTATTTATGGCAGGATTGTATAGTATAAAGATATATTTGTATAGTTATCGTTTACAATTTATAGTTTTCACACGTGTTGCACTAGATGGAACGGTACAAACTATTGCACTTAAAAAAGTAGGAAAGAGTACAGGGTGGTTTAATATTGATTTGTGCGGTAGTGTTATACCACAAACACTGACCTCTATGAACAATAGTAGGGTAGTTTATGGAGGCAGCTCTCTGTCTACAAATTTATACTTGACTTAAATGATCTCTCCCATGCAAAAATAGATGTGCATAGGTGTTTTAATGAGTAGCACGTCGATTGAGAGATTGATGTGAGTTTGGACACATTCATGGGAAGTGTTCTAGTTCCGTAGGTATGTTGGCTGGATTGTTTAATGCTCTTGTTCTAACTATTGAGGTTCAAACTTGAGTTTGATTTCAAAAGGATGAAATTTTGAACTTCTAAACTTTGAAATAATGAACTTGAGATGCACATTTTTTCATGTTCTTTCTTTTGTCTGCATTCCTGATTCTTTGGTTCAACTGCCTGAAATTGATCATATGGCATGACTATTTGTGGAATCAGTGCATGTGTTAGACTTGAAAATGCCCATTTTAGAATAAGCGGTTCAAACTATTTTATTGAAATGAGTGTATTATATCGACAAAATATTCATTTGAATACCATCTCTATATTAATCTAGAGGTAGAAAGATTACCATGCTGCGTCTAGATGTCAAACAGTTTACTTTAACCTTCTTAAGAGTCCCACATTATTGAAGTAGATTTGCCAATTAATCATGAAATGCTATGGTTCCTACATGTAATTAATTCACGAGATTATGCACATTTGTTTCCTAGTTATAAAGGGAAAAGGTCCACAATGAGACATGTCATGGGTCCTTAATGATGTGATTAAGTGTAGGCATGGAGAGATTGTGGGAGAGGCGACAAAACTCCAGAAAAACATGGTACAAAGAAGAAAATCTAATAGTTTACATTGACATATAACACCTGTTCTCAACTCCTGGTGGTATATTTGCAGGATTCATCTACCTTTTTCTTGTTGTCTTGATTTTTGCTTGAAGTTCCATTCTGCATCAATTGCCGTGATATTGCAAATGGCATTTAGAACATGGAACATGGAGCTAAGAATTTTAAATCTTGTTTATTTCTTTTAAATTTGCAGTTGATATTATCTCTGCTCTCGAGTTTGATAAAACTGGTGACCACCTTGCTACTGGTGACCGTGGGGGAAGGGTTGTGTTATTCGAAAGAACTGATACGAAAGAGGTAAGCTTCCAAAATACTGTAGGGATTTATTTTATTGATAGAGTCAATTATTTTTATATCACTTCGTGTTTTTAATAAATTGTAGCATGGTGGAAATCGAAGAGATTTAGAGAGAATGGACTACACGGTTAGTCGACATCCAGAGTTTCGGTACAAAACTGAATTTCAAAGCCATGAACCTGAGGTATTTATTTTGATTTCCGCCGGCTCCCTTATCTTCTCCCTCTGTGTGCTACCCAGGAGATTAGACAGTCTTCACCACTGTTTTTTCTCATGCTCCCTTTCCCTGTCAAAGGGGGAAAAGACAGAAAATTTGAATTGCTAATGTGCACATCTGTATGCTTTTTCTTCCAGTTTGATTATCTTAAGAGTCTGGAAATCGAAGAGAAAATCAACAAGATCCGATGGTGTCAGATGGCTAATAATGCACTTTTTCTCCTGTCCACTAATGACAAAACCATTAAGTTTTGGAAGGTGAAATCTCTAATCTCCACTATTTTTGGTCATCATTTATTGTTGGAAAAAAGAACAAATAATTTAAGAGTTTTTAGTCCTGGTAGTAAAAGGAGACTTTCAGTGCCCTCATATTCATGGTATTCAAGTCTTGTATTTATCGTGTGGCGAGGAAAGAGTTGATTCTCTTTGTTTTTTAATGCATGCAATCTTGATCGTGGATTTTAATAGGTTTCTTTTCTTTCAATATCTTTATAAAGACCTTTTTATGTCAATCTTATGCTAGGTGATGAGATTTGTTGTGCCCTTGTTTTGCATCCATCAAGCTCATCCTTACCCTCCGTTTGGTCCCCATTAAATTTCATTTCATTTTTCTCTCTTTTATTTTCAATCACACAATTTTCCATAAAATAATATTATGCGTAAATCGAAATTGTTTTCTTCTTTTCCATTCACTCATTTAATTAAAAAAAAAAAAAAACCCTATTTCACCCATTTTCTTTTCAAAAAATGGGGGCCAAACGGGGGCTTACATTCATTAATTGCTCCTTAACAATTCCCGTTTTAGTAGTTGGAGCCAGATTGAATTTACATGCAGGGAGCAGAATTGGTTTTATATATTTGGAAGTTCTTAATGTTGAAAGGGTTTCCTTCTTTGTTTTAGTTTCTTTAGTGGAATGAAGTCCAATTGGATACATGTTACTATGTTGATGTGTACACATCAACATGCTCTTCATCTGGTGGTTATATTAATTAATACTCTTCATCATTTATCTTTCTACCGGCTCTGTTTTGAGATGGAGAACAGTTCAAATTGTAGAATGTTTGATAATTCTAAGTCTTTGTTTTCAATTAAAAAGGTCCAAGAGAAGAAAGTCAAGAAAATCTCTGAGATGAATGTGGATCCTTCCAAAGCTGCAGGAAATGGTGGTGTTGCAAATGCGAGTGTTTCTGCTGGTCCTAATAACAATCTTGCTAATGGAAGCTATCTAGATCAATCTTACAATTGCTTGAGCAAAGACGCATCCTTTCCCCCCCGCGTCATTTCGTCACTGCGATTACCAGTGGTAGTTGTACTTGACTATGCTCTACTCTTCTCTTCCAGTATTGATGCTATCTGTAAGATGCATCATTTTTTTTAATTGTGTTTCACATATCTGAAGATTTATTGCATAGTTCTTATTGGTTTTTTCTCCACTCTAAAACGCATTACACATAACAACTGATCGTGGTTGAATAATTTAGTTTTATGTTTAGAAAGTAAAAAATGCTTTAACTTGATGTCATTGGAATCCTTCTTTCAATGACTTGGAGGCATGAAATTATTTTCACCGCTATTTGTTTGTCTCTGTATATAAAGGGTTTACAGCCCTGGGACTTGGTCAACTACAACTGTCCCCTTGCTAGTCTGAAAGTTTGTGTAGGCATTCACTTGGAATACCAAGCATAGACATGTGCTAGGTATCACTATTATATGCTAAGTAACTTCCATTGTCTCATTATGGTTTGACGTAACGTGTGATTGTGCAATCTGTAGGTCACAAGCAATGAAATCAGTCTTGTCGCAAAATGTAGGAGAGTGTATGCTCATGCGCATGATTACCATATCAATTCAATTTCAAATAATAGGTAAGGTCCCAAAGTTTTAAATTGTTAATGAATAAGGACTACATTTTGACTTTTTTCTGTCACATTGTCTTATCATATGAGTTATGATTTTGCCTGGATTTTGGCGGTTCAGTTAATTTATTTTCCTCTTGCTATTTTCATTCTCAAGCTAGAGGATGGAAAACAAGTCTAATATAAGTTGTTGCAATTTTTTTTGTAATTGAAAACATATCTTTTGGGAATGTCGGGTGTGTTAGTTCATTAGTTTATGGTTGGCTAACAATGGGACTGTGACGTGTTAGGCCTCAGCTGAGGAAATACGTATTAGCAAAGAAGTGTTTTCTTGGTACCCAGCTAATTTTCTTCACTTGATGTTTGCGCAATAGATAGCTGTGATGGCATTGATCAGTTGTCATTTACTTGCGTCCTTTCTCTCTCTCTGCTTATCTGCCACCCTACTTCCCTGCTAGGTGCTTCCTCTGTGTTTTTCCCCCTGTAGTAAAGCAGCATTTTGAGAAAAATGGAAGAATACATACTGGACGATATGGAATAGCGCCTTATGCTGTCTCCTACTGTTCCCCTATTGAAAAAAGTAAATACGATCTTCTCTTTGGAGATTTCATGGTGGAATTTGATCAATTAGAGGATATATAAACATATATGTATGGTTATACGTAAAGTTCACAAAACCTCCCTTTTTCATATCCGACGTTGACAATTAGTACCCAGATACATTTTTCACTTGATCTTGTTTTATCTTTCTATTATTTCTTGATTGATGAATGCAAACAGTATCTCTCAAGCGTTTGATTCTGCCAAGAGCTAACGGTTATAAAATTAGTCTTAGCGCCTTTTTATTTTTCTCCTGGACTACACTTAGCCCTTGTTTGAACCCCATTTTTTTTGATAAGAATGAATTTTTGAAAAGTGTATTGATGGAAAATGTGTGGTTAAAAAATAAGAAATTTTTTTGGATTTGTGTAATGTTATTTTATTGAAGAATGTGTGGTTAAAATGATGTTAAAACACTATTTAAGAATGTATTTTTTTAAAGAATGAGAATCAAACAGGGGGTTAATAAAGCCTTGAACTCTTAAAGTGCACAAATTTGTAATCCTAACTCTGTATCGCAGATGGTTATAATGTCTTCACCTGCAAGAAGTGCTATATACTGATGTCGCATTATTCGAAAACTTTTGATTATGGCTTTGTGGAAGCCATTTATTCTTTAATTCTGGTAATCTGATCTGTTTGATTTTAGTGATTAAAATGTATTTATTATGCTTTTCAGTGATGGTGAAACATTTATATCAGCTGATGATTTGCGAATAAATCTTTGGAACTTGGAAATAAGTAATCAAAGTTTCAATATCGTTGATGTTAAGCCAACAAATATGGAGGATCTAACTGGTGAGTCCTTTCTGGTTCGAACTTCCAGAGTACCTTTTCAATTTATTACAAGCCAATTTCTTATCTCCTTTAAATGCTTGATTCTGATAATTCTTTTTATGCAACAATCACTCCATGAAGGGACCAGTAAATTTAATTCTTTACTTAATACTTCATGCTGTCATTGCTCTTGCTATTATTCTTTATGTAATTATACTCTCCCATCTAAGTAACCAAATCAATTCTCATAAAATGAAATTTATTCATTTTGTTGTACTATCTGTAGTGATGAAAGTATTCTAGGAGATCATCATGCCGCAACTTACTGGGTTAAATCATTTTATACTCATTTAACTTTTCCACTTGATCGGCAACCTTTTGCTTGTTGCAGAGGTCATAACGTCAGCAGAGTTTCATCCTACACACTGTAACACATTAGCATACAGCAGTTCAAAAGGATCAATTCGTCTAATCGATTTGCGGCAATCTGCCTTGTGTGATTCCCATTCAAAAATGTAAGTGTCTATGTGATGTATCTTTCTTAACCGCTTTTGATTTCAGTTATACATTGTCTGCATAACATTTGATCTTATTTAATTGTTCAGAATAGGAGTCAAAAGTTAGTGATATTGGGAATTCTAAGTCGTTTTTGCTTTTTCAGAAAAAATTAAGCCCCCGTTTGGTAACAAATTCTCATCCCAAAAAATCAATTTTTTCACCGTCATTTTACTATTTCAGCCGTCATTTTCGACGTCTTCACTCTGAGGTGGGACCTACTTTTGTATCTAACGGTCAACAAATCAATTTTCATAATCACTACCGAACATGCCCCAACTATGTTAGTTCCTATTGATCTTTTTTACATGAGAAAATTGATTTTTCATTCATGTACAGATTTGAGGAACAGGAGGCGCCTGGTTCAAGATCATTTTTCACTGAGATAATAGCTTCAATTTCAGATATCAAGTTTGCAAAGGATGGAAGACACATACTTAGTCGTGATTACATGACCCTTAAGGTGTTCCATCTTCTATAGTTTATTTGATCTTTCTCAATAATCATGTCTTGTCATTTGGACATGCTTGGTTTTGCTTCCTGCTGGGTTTATGCAAATAATAACAGTGGCGGAAACTAGTTGGCTGCAGTTAGGCATTCATTTAGCCCGTTTGGTTTGGTTAAAAATCAGTTTTTTAGTAGATTTTGATAAAAGTTATGAAATTTGTGTTTGAAAATTGGATAAAAGTTGTTGGTCCTATAAAATGTGTAGTTGAAAATAAGTTTTAAAAATTGGGGCCAAACAGGGGCTAAGTTTCATTTAGAATTCCCTATGTATGGGGATCTCAAGCATGGCTATAAAGATGTAAAAGAATCTAGCAGAATTACTTATTATGGAATTTTCCACTTACTGGCCATAGTCCATAGCTTCTTGTGGCAGAAGATGATTAGAAGTAACTTCAGTTTCTTTGGAGCATGCCCCTATTCTTTTATTTCATTTTTCTGTATTGTTTCAATTTTGGTTTGTCACTTGATTTCAGTTATGGGATGTTAATATGGATTCTGGTCCAGTGGCAACCTTCCAGGTTCATGAGTATCTGAGACCCAAGGTGAATAGCTTTGTTTCTCAGAAATCATTCCGCATTTTTGCTGCATATATTGTTTAGGTGAGCTGATGTGTTGGTAATTTGATAATGTCCAGCTCTGTGATTTGTACGAAAATGATTCCATTTTTGACAAATTCGAATGTTGCCTGAGTGGCAATGGTCAGCGAGTAGCAACTGGTTCTTACAGGTATGCTTGAGTCTCTTTTGTCTGCTCATTTATATAGATTCTCATTTTTGTGCATATCAATGAAAGGCTTAACATGATTTTAGCAATTTATTTCGCGTATTTGGATGTGCTGAGGGGAGTACTGAAGCAACTACTCTGGAAGCAAGCAAAAACCCAACGAGGTATCCTTTATAAGATTAATTTTGGCATTTTTGTTATATATATATATATAT